AAAATCATAAAATTTGTCATGATGTGATGATATCATATGTGAAGGCTATGGTAAAAAATTGAGAAGGTTTCGCACAATTTGTCACGTACGATGTTTACAAACCAAAACATCTCAGGAGAAGAATCGTAGCGTCGAGAAGGAATCGGTAAGATTTGGAGTTAAAGTGACGGTTGAATTGGGGATTGACTTCAAAACTTTTTGTACAGGTAACAGAGAACATAGATTGTTTCATGTGAAATTTTGGTAATTTTTTAGATCCGTTTGATAATTTTAATTTATTAAGTGCAATTATAGAATTTTAATTGATATAAATTAAATTTGAGCTGTAACTGCATAAAATAATGTAACCATATTCGTAGAAAAATCATATTTATATTGTTGAGTCAATTTGACAAGGTATTTTCAAAGTACATCGAACAAAAAAGGAAAAACACGTTATGGAAAACAAGGAAATGAAAACATAACTAATATATTTGCCGAGTGCCCAAAACCCTAGACACTCGGCAAAGACAGCTTTACGAGTGTCCTCGATCCGACACTCGACAAACTCGACATTATAAAGTCTCCCGGCGCCGCCCCCTCCCCTCCCTTTCTCTTTCTCCCTTATCTCTTCCAGAGAACACGCATACAGGGAAAGGAGAGGAGCCATGGTAATAATCAAGTGCTTGGACTTTAAAATAAGAAAGAGAAAAACAAAAGGCTTAAGGCAAAGGTATAAGTGGTAGGAGCCATTTTGTTTTAGTGATCGAGACACTTAGAGAGTGTGATCATATTTAGGATCGATAATTGTACTATTAAGAGGGGTGAAACTCGTATCGAAATGCGGTTATCAAAGTACCACTAGATGCTCTAACTCATTGCATATGCATTTAGGATCTAGTGGAGTGCTAACACCCTTAAAAATGTTTATGAAAATATGCTAACACACATGCACAAAAGTGATACATATTGTGTTTAGCACTTGGGAGCAAGGGTAAGAAACTTCACCGCCAGAGTGTTCGCCCGTAGAGTGTGGACAGTCCGACGGTGCCACCGACGCACTGTACAGAAAAGACAGGATTTCACAGAGTGCACCGGACACTGGCTGGGTGCGTCCGGTCCTGCTGACGTGGCATCGCATAGAGGAGACAGTGAGTGACCGGACGCTGGGTGACTTCGGTCGGGCATGATCGGACGCGTCCGGTTGTGAGTGGAGGATTACTGGATATGATCGGATGCTGGGGTCCTACGTCCGGTCATGATTAAACTGATGCATCTGGTCACAGCTGGAACCTTATTGAAAGTGACCGGACGCTGGGGTCCTGTGTCCGGTCGTGGCACTATGTCGCGTCCGGTCATTACTTGACCGTTGGGATCGGGCGCTTAGTATTTGAAGAGAGGGATGACGTGGCAGCCATCCATTGACCGAACGCTGGCAGGGTGCGTCCGGTCGATCTGACCGGAGCGTCCGGTCACCTCGAGTTGTGCCTAGTGAAGGGGTACAATGGCTCTATTTTGTGGGTCTTCTATTTAAGCCCCATGGCCGGCTCTAGCTCACTCTCTTAGCCATTTACATTGACATAGCAACCTTATGAGCTTAGCCAAAGCCCTCCCACTCATCTCCATCATTGATTCATCATCTTTGTGAGATTGGGAGTGAATCCAAGTGCATTGTTTGAGTGTTTGCATCTAGAGGCACTTGGTGTTCGTGTTTCGCTACGGGATTTGCTTGTTACTCTTGGTGGTTGCCGCCACCTAGACGGCTTGGAGCATCGAGGATCGTCGAGCGGAGGTTGGTGATTGTCTCCGGCTTCGATCGTGGTGATTGTGAGGGGTTCTTAACCTTTCCCCGGCGGAGAGTCAAAAGGTACTCTAGTAAATTGCTCGTGGCTTATGTGATCCTCATTTTGTGTTGGTTGTGCGGCACCCTATTGAGGGTTTGGCGTGTGATGCCAATTAGCGCGTGAACCTCCAAGTGAGTGAATCGCCGCAATGAGGACTAGCTTGCCGGCAAGCAAGTGAACCTCGGTAAAAAATCATTGTGTCATCATTTGATTCCGAGCTGATTGGTCTTCATTGGTATTCATTCTTGTGATTGATTGGTTCACTTCTTGACTCGGCGGTATAACCATCTTGCTCACTCTCTTTATATTACCGCAAACTAGTTATCAAGCTCTTTAGTGTAGCTAGTTGTGAGAGCTTGTTAATTTGGTTAGTGTGGCTCTTTAGTTAGCCTTTGAGAGCACACTAACTTAGTGCATTGATATAGCCATTGTGTTGTTAGAAACTATAGAAACTAGAATTGTGGTAGGTGGCTTGTATTTTTAGTAGGCTAGCGCAACACTTGCTTCGCCTCATAATTGTCTAACCGGTTTGTTAAGTGTTGTTGTAGGAATTTTTTAATAGGCTATTCACCCCCCTCTAGCCATCTGGACCATTCACCTCCTGCACCGCCACGCTGGAGGAGCTGGCGAGCACCGCGCCCGCGCTACCGGCGCCCTCCGCGGCCGTGGCCGTCTCCGCGGTGGCGGCGCTGCTCGACTCCGCCGCTGGCTGCGGCGGGGACCTCCGCGAGCGTGCCGTGACCGTGCTGGTCGCCCTGGCATGCTCGGACGCCGCGCGACCTTCCCTGGCGTAGGCGGCCGGCGCCGTGGTGCCGCACCTGTGCCGCGCGCTCGAGTCCGGGTCCGGCGCGTGCGCGGCGCTGCTCCCGCTAATGGCGTCGTCGCGGGACGCGTGCGCGGCCGTGGCCACACGCGGCGGGGGTGGCGGCGCTTCTTGTCCGCTTCTTGGCCGCGGCTGGTGCTCGCAGACCTCACGGCGTTCCGGACCTCCTCCGGCGTTCATGACGAGGCGGCGCGGTGCGTGGTGGCGGCACAGATTCGGGAAATGGAAAATGGACATGGGTGGCGGGGGGCATGGCGGCGGCGGTGGTTTTTATATTTTTCGAAAAGTCTTTGGCGCGTGTCGGTTTTAGAGTGCTCGACCCGTTTGCCGAGTGTAACACTCGGCAAATCCTTTACCGAGTGTTTTTTAGGCTTTGCCGAGTGCCACCTACTGTTTCCGGTAGTGGAGATAGCTTCCAACAAAGTGTTTTCAGCTCATCATACGTGGTGATTAGTGAAAGTACCGGGATGTTGGTTACAGTTATACGACTTGATAAGATATTGCATATATAAAATAAGTTAAGAGTGATGATAGATGATGTGGGTCATCCCCGTTTGACCTGACATAGTTTATTACTAGAAAACTACATCCAATCAAATTTTAAAATATGGTCTTGTCTAAAATTATGCTAGAAAGGACAATTGGATAATTAAAAAAGGCATCAATCAATTCATAAAACTAATATTTATGTTCGAGAGAAAGGCACAAAAGTCTCGCATATATGCCTGTGTACATGCCGTACGTGCACATCTACAGTATGTTGTTGTCTCCATAAGAATCTATACACTATGCTAAAACATGAAGCTAATATCTTTGATCTCAATTAGTTTAAATTGATCATATATAAAGAAGGGCTGTGATATGTAGTGTGTATTATATTAGTTAAAGTCTAGGGTTTTGTTAATATTGTCTGTTTTTTAGAACATACAATGCAACATATGATGAACAACATTGCAATTTTTACATATTGGTAGAACTTACCTGCGTGATTAATGTCTTTGTGTTCGCAGGTGTGCTTATATTTTCATTGGTTAATTTACTCTAGAAAGAAATTAAACTACACTATTCATCGGCAACAAAATACCTATATATGGTAACTACACTATTCGGTTTTTAGATGTTTTCATCATAGGAATACATGTGTATATGCACTTGTATGGTGACCTGTGAATGTATGTATGTACATGAGCATCCACTTTATATAAGGGTTAGACCTAACTGCAGGTGCAATTGATCCGAGCGCAGCACGCGCTAGCATGGGCCCCACCTGAGTGTAGTCATGAACAACCTCCACACCGTTCGCATTCAGCCTGTTCTAACTGTTGACTTGTTCGTTGCTAGTTCGTAAGAAAGTATTATTGACTGATTTGTGTGAGAGAAAAATACTATTCAGACTGTAAGGCACTGTTCATATGAACAGTGCCCGCGTGAGGGGCTGGCCAGCCAGCGTCAGGCAGCCGAACGGGCTGATTAACCAGGATTAAGTGGTCCTAAACCACGGGTTTAGGCACTTAACCCTGATGAATTAGCATAATCTTGCGATGAACACGTACGCTAAGCCATCGCTATCACCATGCATCACATTTTGGCATAGTTCCTCCCGCTCGATCCGTCTCTCTTTCTCCGATGCCTCCCCGGCCCCTGTCACTATCATGTAGGACGCCTGCGAAACTGACCCATGGGCCCTACAATCCTGTGGCCCACGTGTCAGTCTTATAGCCTTATGTCTTTTCCGTATCTGCAAAGGATGCACAAGAATTTGTTCTCCCAACTCTCTCCTCCTCCCCCACATTATTTTATGCGGTGCACTTCCTACTACTGGTCTGAAGAAGCTCTCGAACCCTTCTCTTCCCATCTTGCCTGCCTCCCGTGCCTCACCTTCTCCTCCTCTATAGCTTCCTCCTTTCTCTCCTCCTTGCCTACCCTGCTCATAGCTAGCTCACAGCCCTATTGGTGTGTGTTCCTTCAATTCTCTTCTCCATGCAAGCATTCTCTTCTTTGGGTTTTTAATTTCTTCCCTGTTTGCTTCTTTCTGCATCCAAAAACTTCTATAACAGGCAGAATCATAAACAATCCCCTTCTTTAAAAATCATTGCTTCCTTTTCCAACACTTCCTTTTAACCTAAAAACAAAACACCACTCTGTTGCAATTGGAGTTTTTTCTCTCTTTTTCGCTGCTTTTCTAGTTTTAAAATTTTTTGCTTGCTAGCTACATCAGTACATGAGCTAGCAGAAAAGCATGGCCGGCCTCGACCTCGGCACCGCTGCGACGCGCTACGTTCATCAGCTCCACCACCTCCACCCCGACCTCCAGCTGCAGCACAACTACGCCAAGCAGCCGGAGCCCTCCGAGGATGACCCTAATGGCAGTGGCGGCGGCGGGCGGCAACAACGGCGGGCCGTACGGTGAGCACGACGGCGGGTCGTCCTCATCCGGTCCAGGCGCCGGAGACGCACCCGGTGGCAGCGGCGGTAACGGGGAGATGGTAGCCCGCCGGCCCCGCGGGCGCCCGCCGGGCTCGAAGAATAAGCCCAAGCCCCCGGTGATCATCACGCGGGAGAGCGCCAACACGCTGCGCGCCCACATCCTGGAGGTGGGGAGCGGCTGCGACGTGTTCGAGAGCGTCTCCACGTACGCGCGCCGGCGGCAGCGCGGCGTCTGCGTGCTGAGCGGCAGCGGCGTGGTCACCAACGTGACGCTGCGGCAGCCGTCGGCGCCCACGGGCGCCGTCGTGACGCTGCACGGGAGGTTCGAGATCCTGTCCCTCTCGGGTTCCTTCCTCCCGCCGCCGGCTCCCCGGCGCCACCAGCCTCACCATCTTCCTCGCGGGGGGCCAGGGGCAGGTGGTCGGCGGGAACGTCGTGGGTGCGCTCTACGCCGCAGGCCCCGTCATCGTCATCGCCGCGTCCTTCGCCAACGTCGCCTACGAGCGCCTCCCCCTGGAGGAGGAAGAGGCTCAGGCAGCGCCACCCGGCCTCCAGATGCAGCCACCGGGCGGTGGTGCCGATGGCGCTGGAGGCATGGGCGGTGGGCCGTTCCCTCCCGACCCGTCAGCTGCCGGGCTGCCGTTCTTCAACCTGCCGCTCAACAACATGGCTGGTGGCGGGTCGCAGCTCCCGCCCGGCGCTGACGGCCATGGTTGGGCCGGTGCACGGCCGCAGTTCTGACAAGCAAGTCCATGATGGCTGGTGGTGTAATTCAGGTTTGAGAGAACTGCAGGAAGATGTCAAGAAGAAAGCAATGAACGGCACAAGGGTTAAGGGCAGCTTGCAAAAGGTTAGCGCACGTATGCTTGCAAGGATTCTATCTATCTATTTCTATCTCGATCTCTGTATAACTCCGTAGTGTTTGCTCGGTCTCTCTGATTTTGTGTTTTCAATTTCTTCTCCTTTCTTTTCCTTTTTCTCCTCTCATGTGCATCTTGAAACTTGATCTGTGGTGTAACCTTGTCTTAATTTTTAATCTGGCTTTTAATAAGTAGTCTTCAAAAATTGTTCTCTGGGACTGGATGCAAGTGTGCTAATCGATGTTTCCATGCATGGGGTGGTTCTTGTTGTTATTGTTCTTATGGATGAGATAATATATATCTCCAGCCAAATTGTGTTAAGAAAGTTCGCGTATTCTAGTGGCTTAATTAAGCTGTCAGTTCTTACTTTATCATCATCATGTAGTTGCTAGGGGTGTGTGCTGTGAATATATACTTTTGGGCACAATTGTTTTTTGAGTTAGACAAAGGTGTTACCTGCCTGTGTGTGCAACAACAATTAGTGACGCGTGCATACTATATTATTTCTCGTATATATCATCAATCAGTTTCTGCTTCTGGTTCTTTTTCTAAGTTTATTGTGGAGTCTGGGAACTGCTTCGTCACAAGTTACCACACAATTTTCTGCTCACACGTGTGCGTGCTTTGCCTTTGTTTAAACATCACGAAGCTATAGTACTCGATTCAGCTATAGTAAATTGCATCTCGCAAAGCAAGCAGCTCATGGGGACTCCTCACAAAGTCACCAACTACTACTTTCCTATATGCTGCCCTTGTTCTTCGTTGTCTCATATGCGTAGATTGCAAGATGGTTGTCTCCCTATGTTCTTGGGACTTGGACATTCAAAGATGTTTTCATTTGATGACATGTCATCTAGTGTTTATTATGGCCTCTTTGGATTATTGTGCTGTTGCATCCTTGTTCAGAGCTTAGGACTAGTGCAGTAGTGCTATATGGCTAGCTTAAAACTCCCACTCCACACCATTTCTACAGATGAATTTGATGGTGTGTCTGTGTGCACCTAGCTTGACTGCCTTCATCAGCGTGTCTTGAAATAACATGTTTAGGTCCTAAGCATACTGTGACACTTAGTCACATTTCTTTTCTTACCTGATGCATATTTGTTGATTGAGATTTTCGTTCCTTCAGTCTACAGAGTTCTTAAAACTGCAACAAATTATTACAGTCCTTTGTGTCAAATTTGCAGCTGCTTGTTGTTACTATAATTAGCGACACATAAGCAAACAACATGAAATTTCTATGCACGCTAGCTAGATTTGTCAAGAACAATTTGACCTGAACAAAATAATCAACTTCACTGAAGAGCCAATGACTCACTTGATGAGAAATGACATGTAGCACTATCTAACCTGTTCAACTGTATTACTTAATTATCTGGCCTTTTCAGATGTCTATGGCTATTATAATGTTCTCTGCCATCTCTTTATATGCTCATGTGTTGATAAAGTCTCTTGTTCTCAAATTGTCCCCATGATTCTCTGCACATATATCTATTTATGAAACAATCTCTCCAAATAGATTGATGAACTACTTGTAACCCTTTGTTGTGCACATGTGCATGAATTGAATAGCAAAATGTTTTTTAAAAAAAAACTCTACTGGGTAACATACTATTACATGCGAGTCACTGTAATCAATACGTACTCTTATCACCTCTGTTGTCTGTTCTTGATCCTTCAATAGTTTTGCGATTTGTTTGTGCATGAAACCAATTTAGTTTTCAGTCAGAAACTCTGAATCAACATCCAACCAGGGTTCTGGGATTCGGTTCGTAAAAATCGAATTTCAGCAAAATTCGTCCATCTTGGTGAGGCCCGAAACAACATTGTAGCAACAATAAAAAATTTTGGTCTAATTTGAATTTTTAGTCTCTAGTATAGAGTTCAAACAAATCCAAAAGTTTTTCAGTTGATATAAAAGTGCAAATTTATCAAACTACATTCCATTGATTTCCTCTTCATGCCTCTGGAACAAATTTTGGCTAAAATTCAGCTAAATATTAGCTAAACATGAACATTTTCACTAGTCAACAAAAATAAGTACTAGTCTAAAATTTCCAAGATTCACCAATTTTGGTCGGGTCAGTAATTTTTTGCTATTTGAATCCCAGAACCCTGCATCCAACTACTTATCAGTTGAGGTGGTTGGATTTGTCAAGGGCTTATGATTGTGGTGATTGAACAAAAAAAATGGTTTCAAGCAGTTGGAAAATAGTCAGACCATAATTTTTAATTTACACAGCTAATAACTAATGCTATGCATATTTTTTTTAAAGCTACCAGCAATATTTTATAACAGAAACTTAATTTGTCTAGTAATTGAAATTATGAATTTATAATATTATCCAGGAGTCATGAGCCTAACTTTCTAAGTCATAGAGTGTTTACAAAACCTATCGATCTAATTGATTGGAACCTCCAATTACAATGTTGATTGCCATTAGTTTATTTGTTGACAATTAATAATCCAGTAAGTTAGCTATAGACAAAGTTGCTTCTTTGTTTCTATCAAACGTTATATACACAAGTGATACTATCAAAGCGTCACAGTTTCCCTATTTGAAATACTACGCTTACTCATGCATATGGGTATAAGCCAGTTAGCATTTCAGCCGGAAAACCTGAAAGATTTGCTTGGAAGAAGGATCAAGTTTCTAGCTGGCTACTGTCATTGTTTTAGTACTATACAGTAGACTTCAGATTGGCTGCAGACATTAATGCAAGCTAATAACAAATCTGAGCTGAAGCAAAATATTTGAGCCATCGTTGGCATTGTTCTTAGTGTTCAAATTATTCGACATGAATCCAACTGCAAAAAAAGGTCTACATCACAGCGCATGCATAGGGATTCTCCTCGCTGATGAATTCACTGGGGTGTGTGCAGTGCAAGAACGCCGTCTCCTGGTAGCCTTTGATCTCAGAGTGTGTGTAGCTGACGCCACCGTACGGTGGGTACCCGCCGCCGCACCCGTAGCCGTAACCGCCGCCGTACGGCGAGCAGTAGCCGCAGCCACAGCCGTAGCGGTGGCCCGGGTGCGAGTAGTCGACGAAGTGCGGGTGCGTGCAGGGGATGAAGTAGGGGGCGATGACCTCCTTGACGATTTTCGCGGCGACCTCCTTCGCCTTTTCCTTCTTCTCTTTCTCCTCCTTCTCCTTCTTCTCCTTCTCCTTGTCCGCCTTCTTCACTAGGACCTTCTCCTCCTTGACGATCACCTTCTTCTCGACCTTGTCGATGATGCCCTTCTTGCGCGTCCTCTCGAAGATGTACTTGACGAGCTTGTCCTCCTCAAGGACACCCTCGACGGTGCACGTGTTCTTGCCGAAGTCCGTCTTGGCCTCGTAGATACCTATATTAGCGTGTGTGAACATGTCATTATTGATGGAATTATGAGATTATTGCAGCTCTATAGAGAGAGAGATTACTCTTGTTCTCAAGCAACATCTCCTTGACCCTGACTGCACAGTCGGGGCAATGCAACGGAAGCTTTACAGTTATGACCTTCAGCTCCTGCGACATTAATAACAAACCAAAGAAATGCATGAATGATGGAGCTATCATCGCGGAAAACCCAACATAAGATGCAGCGTTCTTGATCAGACACTGCACACTACGTGCTGTACTCGCCAAGGTCTATCACTGCCGAAAACGTCAAATTTGCCGAGTGTTTGTGTATTCTCTCGGGCACTCGGCAAACAAGTTCTTTGCGAGTGTTGCGCTAAAAACACTCGAAAAAAAAACACTCGGCAAAGAGTAGGTTTGCCGAGTGTAAAAAAACACTAGGCAAAGAGAGGGTTTGCTGAGTGTTTTCTTTTTTACACTCAGTAAAGAAATAAAAAAAATTCTGGGAAAGAAGGAGAAGAAAAAAAAACTTTGCCGAGTGCCCAGATCTAGGACACTCGATAAATAAATAAAATCTTTTTTTACGAGCAAGAAGGAGAAAAAAAAAATTAAAAAAACTTTGCCGAGTGCCTAGATCTAGGACACTTGCAAAGGAAAAAAACTACTTATTGTGTAAAAAGAGGCAAGAAAAAATAAAAAACAAGCTTTGCGAGTGCCTTCCATCCCGGCACTCGGCAAAGCAAAACCTACTATAACCGGGCCGCACCCTCCCCCCCCGCCCCCCTCCCTTCTCCCATGCCCCCCTCCCTTTTCCCGCTCCGCGCCCCCCGCCCCCTCCCTTCTCCGCACACGCACGCCGCCCCCCCTTCTCTCGGCTGCCCTCCCCCTCCCGGCCGGATCCGACGGCGGCCCCTCCCCTCCCGGCCGAATCCGGCGGTAGCCCGGCCACCCCTCCTTCCCCCGGCCGCCGCCCCCTCCCCTTCTCCCCGGCGCTGCCCCCTCCACTCCTTCCCTAGATCCAACGGCGGCCCCTCCCCTCCCGGATCCGGCGGCGTCCCGGTGGCCGCCCCTCCCCTCTCCCGGATCCGGCGGGTGGCGTGCGGCGTGGCGGGTTCCCTAGATCCGACGTTTTTTTATTTCTTGTAAAAAATGTTTGCCGAGTGTTTTTTGGGCACTCGGCAAAAACACTAGGCAAAGCTAGTTTGCCGATGAATTTTTTGCCGAGTGCTCTTTACTAAGTGTTACACTCGGTAAACCCTTTACCGAGTGTATTCGTGGCTTTGTCGTGTGCCTAGGGTACACGGCAAAGCTCCCGTTCCCGGTAGTGTATGGAAAGGCAGGTGAAATGATCAGAAATCTACATGCTGTGTTATCAGAGATCGATGCATGTACATGGAAGTCTCATTTACCTCCTTTTTGGTCTTGACCTCAACGACCATGTCGTCCTTGGGAGGCGCGGGTGGAATCAGCTCGACCTTCTTCCGGCAACCCTTCTCAACTTTCTTCCTGAGCTTCTCGACGTCGAACGCGAAGCCCTTCAC